CTCATTCTTGGTTTCCCGGGTTAATTAATCCAGAATAATTATCCCCACACGATCCCCCCATTCCTTTTTATCACACCAGTCTAGTTTTGGACCTTCCTGGTTCAGTGGGCAAAGGTTTAAAAGCAATGGGTAGCGGCTGCCTGATGGGCTTGCATGGAACTGCAAGGCTTGATATACGGGGGAACCTGGGTTTTAGATCCCCGCTCAGCCCCAAAGGTTACAGTGGTGTCTTGCTAGACGATGATAATCCATTGTCTACCGAAAAGCATTTCCCCATTGGAATGCATTGAGACCTGTTTAATGCATTCCAATGGGGAAGAATCGTCGTCTAGCGAAGATCCGCCATAGGAAAGTATTTCCCCATTGGAATGCATTGAGACCTGTTTAATGCATTCCAATGGGGAAGAATCGTCGTCTAGCGAAGATCGGCCATAGGAAAGCCACTTTGCGAATCGCCGATCAGCTGTTTAAATCGCTGTCTTGCGAAACTTGGGTCCCGAAAACACCCGTTTTGCGAGCGCGGAGGGAGCTGTCAAAATCGTTGTCTAGCGAAAATTGGTTTGTGAAACAGGGACCAAACATTGTCCAGCAAAATGCCCCCATAGGAATCGCTGTTTTGCGAATCACTATAGCGATCGCAAAAAGTCAATGTCTAGCGAAAAAACTCATGCGGGGTAACCGTCTAGCGAGGCACCACTGTATTTCGTCGCTTTCATTTCGCTGTGAATTTCAGTACTCATCCAGGTGACTGTGTTCAGTTCTGGATCCAGCACTTTGAGAAGGATGCCAAGAAACTGAAGCAAGTTCAGAGGAGGGCAACAAGGATGATCAGGGGGTTGGAAACCAAGCCCTACGAAGAAAGTCTGGCATTGTTTAGTCTTGGGAGAAAACTGAGGGGAGATATGATAGCACTTTTGAAATATTTGAAAGGTCATCATTCAGAGGAAGGGGCAGGATCTGTTCTTAGCCATTCCAGAGTGCAGGACACGTAATCAAGCTACAGGAAGCCAGATTTAGGATAAATGTCAGAAAAACCTATTAACTGTTAGAGCGGTACAAGAACGGAACCTTGGGAGGTGGCGGGCACTCCCACGCCGGAGGCATTCAAGAGAACATTGGACAACCGTCTGTCAGATTTGCTTTGATTTGGATTCCTGCACTGAGCAGGGATTGGACTTGATGACCTTATAGTCCCCCTTCCAGCTCTGATATTCTATGATGCTACGATGTAACCTGCTTCACATAGGCATTGTTGAGTGTAGGACAGAGAATCAGAGTGCTCTGAAAGACTTTTAGGGGGAACAACAGAGAGTGAAAGAAGAGCCTAGAGGTCAGGGGATCAGCAGATGGCTTTGGGACACATATTAGGAGCCATGAATTGTATTTAAGAAAACCATTTCTTGTAATCTTCTGGTATTGGAGCTATTGTTTATTTCCTGGTTTATTAGGGAAGTTCTTCCCAATTTCTACTTAACCTATAAGATAGTGGTTTATTCTCCTTATACTTTGTACTGATTGTACCTTTGGTTGATTGGATTCCATTGCTGTTACATACCTTGAAATTGCTGTGGGAGATGTAATTTCTCACAAGTGTTGTTTAAATCATCTTGGCCAACTAAGCAACCTCCTGATATATTGGATCACAGCTCCCATCATGTCACAGCTAACATAGCCATGCTGGCTGGGATGTTGAGATCTATGGTCCAGTGCAGCAGTGTGTATGTCAAGTTGGAGACCGCTGGTCTAGAAGGTGATGGACCAAACTGGACTTCTTTGAGTTGATTTCAAATAGCAAGTCAGGTATAGATTTCTTTGATGTTTAAAGAACTATTGCATCCACTCCAGTCAATGTTCTGTTTTTTGCCTTGGCAAGCGAGATGGAAGTTACTGAAGCAACTATCTCTGGACTATTCAATTTATGGAAGATGGCTAATAAGCTGGAAATGTACTTGTCCTTCCTCTTACAGATGCCCCGTCACTGCTCTGCCACTGGCTGCTGCACCCGTGACACACCTGAGACACGCAACCGAGGCATTTCCTTCCATCGGTAAGAAGAACCTGTACCATTTGGCTCTTCTGTTGTCTTTCATGTATAGATCAGTGATTGTGTTAAATTGGAGACAGGCAGAGGTTAGTCTGATGTTTTGCCTGGGATTGTCGCATACCAGATAATTGCTTTCATGAAATAAATAATGAGGTTTTGAGAACATTTTTCTTGTGTCTCTGAAGAAAGCATTCACAGCATTGCATCTGCATTTCCACCTTGCCACTCTGTCTCACATCCTTGCCATTTTTACAGTTTGCCGAAGGATAACCCCCGGCGATCCACATGGTTAGAGAACTGTCGCAGAAAGGACATGACAGGACAAGGTCTCTGGGATCCTGCCTCCAAATATGTTTACTTTTGCTCCAAGCACTTTGAGAAGAGTTGCTTTGAACTGGTGGGCACCAGGTAGGTCATCAGAAGATGACAAAGCATGCAAGGCCAGGTAGAATAAAAACAGGCAGATGTGGCCACAGCTGGTCAGTGACTTAGGATGGGATGGGAAGATGGTTTGGTGAAGTTGCTGCCGGGAAGCTGAATCCACCTATAACTTCCATATTTTTAGAGGGTTCATGCAGAGAACATGGGGAAGAGAAGTAAAAATGAAGGCCAGAAAAGAAAACAAGTCTTGAAGGCAAGAAGATCTACCGTATTTTTCGCTCCATAAGACGCACCTCTCCACAAGACGCACCAAATTTTTAGGAAAAGAAAACAGGAAAAAAATAATTTGTTTTCTTCTAAAAATTGGTGAGCCTTATGGAGAGGTCCATCTTATGGAACACACCCTAGGACCCTTTGGAGGCTCACCCTGCCCCCCCGGGGTCAGAGGGTGCGAAATCGCCAGCTTCTGGGCCTCTTCTGAAGCTTCCCAAGCCTCAAAAGAGTTCCAGAAGGTGGCAATTTTGCCCCCTCTGGCCCGGCGGGGAGGGGGGAAGGGTGAGCCTCCAAAGGGTCCAAGGATGTGTTCCAGGACCCTTTAGAGACTCACCCTGCCCCCCCCCCCAGGGTCAGAGGGGGGGAAATTGCCACCTTCTGGGACTCTTCAGAGGCTTCCCAAGCTTCCAAACACTCCCAGAACCTGGCGATTTTGCTGGTGCTGGCCCCGTGCGGGCGTGGGAGGAGCGTGGCAAGGGTCCTGGGAGGCTCCCTCGGACCCTTGCGAGGCTCCCCCCACCCCCCACCCCCATGGGGCCGGGGGGGGATAAAATCGCCAGCTTCTGGGAGTGTGGAGGCTTCCCAGCTTCCAAACACTCCCAGAACCTGGCGATTTTGCCGGCGCTGGCCCCATGCGGGGGTGGGGGAGTCTCGCAAGGGTCCTGGAAGGCTCACCCGGACCCTTGCGATGCTCCCCCCCACGGGGCCAGCAGCGACAAAATTGCTGCCTTCACTCCATAAGACACACGGACTCCCCCCCCACATTTTGGGGGGGAAAAGTGTGTCTTATGGAGCAAAAAATACGGTAATTTAATTTATTCAGTGTCACCAATGTTCAGTTGGTAATCTCATTCCAGTTGAGATTTTTAAAAATTCCAACATGAACAAACACTGAGAAAGTACACCTTGACAAATCCATGTTTAAAAATGAGAGGCTTTTGACTTGCGACAGTAAAAGTGACTAGTTCTTGAGATAAATTCTGTCAGCACCAGGAGTAGAAGACTCATGTGATAAATGAAGAGGCTGTCTTGTCTTCTCACATGGATAAATATGTTTGACAAAATAAAGAAGGTCTGCATGAATATGTATATGGAGGCATTAGAATGAGCTAAAACAGCAAGTCCTAGCTGTGAATTCTACTTTGAGTCACTGAAAGTGAATGGACAGTAGTGGGCAAAGTAGATTAGCAGTCTACCAAAGTGAAAAGCAGTTTCATATTTTTATAGGAAAGTGAGCAAACAACAGACAGAGATTGCAGTAATCAAATTAGATTATTTTGGTTGGCTTCTGGGGATAAACCTGAATATACATAACATGTAAGGACTGGGCATGTTTTGGACCTTGTATACATAGAGATACTTGCACAGTGATCTGGTCAAATAATATTGCAAAATGGAATATATGCTGGCACATTCCAGATTCTTGGAGCTCTCAGAAAATCTAACTCCTCCTCACTGGTCCAATCTTCGTATTACAATAGGAAGCTGTATCCATGGGGAATTGGTTCCAAGCATCCCGCAGATGCTGAAAATGGTGGATAATAGCAAATGCTACATAACATTGTAAAAGAAAAAAATACAGAAGAAATATTTTCACATATATTACCAGAGCTGTCCACTAGAGGGAGCCTGACACTACGATGTGTATTCTGAATAGATAGGATGGTCTCTGGCTTTCGCTTGCAGCCATTTCAGGTAAATTCATATTTCTCGTTTGTTTGTTTTTTTCTTTTAATATTTTTTATATTTTCAGAATGCAGATAAGTGTCACTGTGGATACAGATCTGATGGATATGGGGGTCCTACTGTACAGTATTTCATTCTGTAGTGAAATGCCAAGCTAGTCGAGTAGCTGATAATTTATTAATCTACTTCCTTTCTAGTGGTTACCATCGGCTCAAGGAGGGGGCTGTTCCCACTATATTTGAGTTTCATGCCAAACCACGCCAAAAATCAAAGCTAGGCAACTCCAAACTTGCAAAACGTCAGCAGAAGCAGAGGTGAGTACTGCCTTTCTGCCCTTGTGTGCACTTCCTGTGAAAGGTGTTCTATTTCTCTGCTGTGCAGTCTTCTGCATGCTTTTGTTGCTGTTTAGTTGTTAAGTTGTGTCCGACTCTTTGTGGCCCCATGGACCTGAGCACGCCAGGCCCTCCTGTCTTTCACTACCTCCCAGAGTTGGGTCAAATTCATGTTGGTCGCTTCGATGACACTGTCCAACCATCTCGTCCTCTGTCGTCCCCTTCTCTTCTTGCTCTCACACTTTCCCAACATCAAGGTCTTTTCCAGGGAGTCTTCTCTTCTCATGAGATGTCCAAAGTATTGGAGCTTCAGCTTCAGGATCTGTCCTTCCAGTGAGCACTCGGGTTGATTTCCTTCAGAATGGATAGGTTTGTTCTCTTTGCATTCCAGGGGAATCTCAAGAGTCTCCTCCAGCACCAATTCAAAAGCATCAATTCTTCGGCAGTCAGCCTCCTTTATGGTCCACCTCTCACTTCCATACATCACTACTGGAAAAACCATAGCTCTGACTATGCATACTTTTGTTGGCAAGGTGATGTCTCTGCTTTTTAAGAAGCTGTCTAGGTTTCTCATCGCTTTCCTCCCAAGAAGCAGCCATCTTTTAATTTTGTGGCTGCTGTCCCCATCTGCAGTGATCATGGAGTCCAAGAAAGTAAAATCTGTCCCTGCCTCCATATCTTCCCATTCTGTTTCCCAAGAGGTGATGGGACAGTGGCCATGATCTTAGTTTTTTTATGTTGAGCTTCAGACGGTTTTTTGCGCTCTCCTCTTTCACCCTCATTAAGAGGTTCTTTAATTTCTCCTCACTTTCTGCCATCAGAGTGATACCATCTGCATATCGGAGGTTGTTGATATTTCTTCCAGCAATCTTAATTCCGGCTTGGGATTCCTCAAGTTCTGCCTTTCGCATGATGTATTCTGCATATAAGTTAAATAAGCAGGGAGACAATATACAGCCTTGTCGTACTCCTTTCCCAATTTTGAACCAATCAGTTGTTCCATAGCCACTTCTAACTGTTGCTTCCTGTCCCACATATAGATTTCTCAGGAGATAGATAAGGTGGTCAGGCACTCCCATTTCTTTAAGAACTTGCCATAGTTTGCTTTGGTCCACACAGTCAAAGGCTTTTGTGTAGTCAATGAAGCAGAAGTAGATGTTTTTCTGGAATTATCTGACTTTCCCCATAATCCAGCGCATGTTAGCAATTTGGTCTCTAGTTCCTCTGTCCATTTGAAATCCAGCTTGTACTTCTGGGAGTTCTTGGTCCACATACTGCTGAAGCCTACCTTGGAGGATTTTGAGCATAACCTTGCTAGCGTGTGAAATAAGTGCAATTGTACGGTAGTTGAAGCATTCTTTGGCATTGCCCTTCTTTGGGATTGCGATGTAGACTGATCTTTTCCAATCATCCGGCCACTGCTGAGTTTTCAAAAAATGCTGGCATATTGAGTGTAGCACCTTAACAGCATCATCTTTTAAGACTGTAAATAGTTCAACTGGAATGCCATCACCTCCACTGGCCTTGTTGTTAGCCAAGCTTTCTAAGGCCCACTTGACTTCACTCTCCAGGATGTCTGGCTCAAGGTCAGCAACCACAGTATCTGGTTTGTCCGGGACATCCACATCTTTCTGGTATAATTCCTCTATGTATTCTTGCCACCTCTTCTTGATGTCTTCTGCTTCTGTTAGGTCCCTACCATTTTTGTCCTTTATCATGTCCATCTTTGCACAAAATGTTGCTTTAACACCTACAATTTTCTTGAACAGATCTGTTTTTTCCCTTTCTATTCCTTTCCTCTGTATCTTTGCACTGTTCATTTAAGAAGGCCTTCTTGTCTCTCCTCACTATTCTTTGGAAGTCTGCATTCCATTTTCTGTAACTTTCCCTATTTCATGGTTGTTTTGTGTTTTTCGGGCTCTTTGGCCGTGTTCTGAAGATTGTTCTTCCGAACGTTTCACCAGTCTCTGTGGCTGGCATCTTCAGAGGGCAGGGGTCAGAACTCTATCTGTGCTCTGGTGCAGTTTGTTTGGAGAGCAGACTAAAAAAAACGGAAAAATCTGCAGTAGCTAAACATGCCCTAAAACAAGCTGGATATGAAACTCTATTTCAAAACACAGAAGTACTGGACAAAACTAACACTCATTATGTTAGACTGTACTGGGAAGCCACTGAAATCTACAAACACTAGCACAGCCTCAACAAAAAAGAAAGTTTAAAACTCAACAAAGCCTGGTTCCCAGCACTGAAAAATACAGCCTGCAAAAGGTAGACATACTCTACCCAGCCACAATTACCAGTGATCACTGCACAGAAAAGACCAGCTAACGACACCCATCAATCACAATGACAAATAATCTCTCCTCCTTACCACAACAATACACCCACAACAAAAAACACCCTGATCACCATAATCATCCATCTCCTGAAAAGGACAAAAGCCGATCCCACAGCTATAAATACTCAACTATCCAAACAAACTGCACCAGAGCACAGGCAGAGTTCTGACTCCTGTCCTCTGAAGATGCCAGCCACAGAGACTGGCGAAACGTTCGGAAGAACGACCTCCAGAACATGGCGAAAGATCCCGAAAGACCCACAACAACCATCAGATCCTGGCCGTGAAAGCCTTCGAGAATACATTTCCCTATCTCCATTGTATTTTGTTTTCCTTCTCTTCTCTATTTGTAAGGCCTCGTTGGACAGCCACTTTGCTTTCTTGCATTTCCTTTTCTTTGGGATGGTTTTTGTTGCTGCCTCCTGTACAATGTTATGAGTCTCCATCCATAGTTTTTAGGCACTGCCCACCAAAATCTAGTTCCTTAAATCTGTTCTTCACTTCCACTGTGTATTCATAAGGGATTTGGTTTAGATTATACCTGACTAGCCCAGTGTTTTTCCTACTTTCTTCAGTTTAAGCTTGAATTTTGCTATAAGAAGCTGATGATCAGAGCCACAATCCACTCCAGGTCTTGTTTTTGCTGGCTGTATAGAGCTTCTCCATCTTTGGCTGCAGAGAACATAATCAATCTGATTTTGGTATTGCCCATCTGGTGATGTCCATGTGTAGAGTTGCCTCTTGTGTTGTTGGAAAAGAGTGTTTGTGATGATCAGCTTGTTCTCTTAACAAAACTCTACAATATTTGCCTTTGCTCTGCTTCGTTTTGAACTCCAAGGCCAAACTTTTCCTTTTATCCTTCTTCCTTTTATCTCTTGACTCTCTAGCATTCCAATCCCCTGTAATGAGAAGAACATCTTTCTTTGGTGTCAGTGCTAGAAGGTGTTGTAAGTCTTCATAGAACTGGTCAGTTTCAGCCTCTTCAGCATGAGTGGTTGGTACATAAATTTGGATTATAGTGATGTTGAAAGGTCTGCCTTGGATTCATTTTGAAATCATTCTATCATTTTTGAGATTGTACAGCTTTTCCCACTCTTTTGTTGACTATGAGGGCTACTCCATTCCTTCTACGGGCTTGTTGCCCACAATAGTAGATATGGTAATCATCTGAATTGAATTTGTCCCTCAAGCCCCTTTGCCACGACAAGGCAGCAATCCATGAAGGGATGTGCGTGCTTACTCAGAAGTAAATGCCACCCTGTTCAGTAGGGTTTTCTGCCGGATAAAGCGTCTATAATTGCCTTTTAAACTTGCTTGTTGGTGTCATCTCTCCTTAGGGCTTATGGGCCTACAGCACCTGCGTAGTCTGGTTGCTTTGCTTGTCTTCTGCGTGACTCCCCTTCGTGCAGTTGTGCAAGAGGAGGGTGGCAGATCTTCCCCACTGCGGCCCTGCCTTGACTCTTGTTCTTGTCCTCTCTCACAGCTGTGGTCCTTGTCCGGAGGAAGAGTCGGCTTCCTTGGCCATGGATATCTCGTGTTTCCCTGCACAGGAGCTACCAAGCCCTGGGGCTGCTCCCACTAGCGGTGAGCCCCGAAGCCAGCCTGTTGTCCCTGGGCCGGAGCCGGAGCACTTGGCTACCCTGTCAGACATTCCCCTGGAACAGTCGCCCGTTGCCACAGGCCAGGAAGACGCTTCTCCTTCTCCAGCTCTCCCGGAAGCTGTGGATCCCTCCCATCCGGTCTCCCTCTCCCTTTACATGCTGCGCCTCCCTCCCCCAGCGGGTGCCTACATCCAGAACGAGCACAGCTACCAGGTGGGGAGTGCCTTGCTGTGGAAAAGGCGAGCCGAGGCCGCGCTCAACGCGTTGGGGAAAGCCCAGCGGCAGCTGCAAGCCTGCCGGAGGCGAGAGCAGCGTCTCCGCCTGCGCATCTGCGAGCTCCAGCGCGAACGGCAACCACACAGCGCCAACACCCATCGAGGGCTTAAGGAGCACCTGCAGGTCTTTGAACTGCAGCTTCTCAATGACCTTGAGTAACCCTGGGTTGGGCCAACACCTGTGTTTCCCCGATTGGCAAAGTCATAGCCTGGAGCTGTATCCTTCTGTCAGCCGAGCTGTGTCAGAGCTTGAGGCCGTACGAACTGGTGTGCCACTCAGCACTTGCCTCCTTCCTCTTTGTGTTTACTCCCTACTTGTAAATAAAAGTTGTTTTGTATGAGTGGGATGCTCCCAGCTCAGCTGTAAA